TGGGATTTTCTGCTTCAGGTACCAAAATAACTCTGCCCTACTATCACACACCTTGACTCAGAACTCATCTGCCTCAGGTAGCAAAATGTCTTGAGCTGGGATTGCCTGGGTGTAACCACTGCAGGCTTTAACAGCTATAAATATGGAATAATAAATGAATAACTTTTCCTGTAGTTTTAAGTGTTGTATGATCTCGTTTTAATTGCATGTCACTAGGTATGGGTGAGAATTGTGATCCAGTCTGCATATACAGAATGAAACTACCTACTTAACTCTTTCCAAAACATGCAAACTGAAATGCTGCCAGCCATTCCTCAAAATCTGCACTTCTCTGAATTTTGCAATGCAGTTGCCCTGTAATATGCAAAAAAATATGTTTGCCAAAGTGTGCATGAGAATGCATATATTCATGAAAATAACATACAAACATGCCTTTTATTAGGGAAAATTGCCTTGCAAAAATATCTGTATTGAGCAACTTTGCAAGCAAATATGGATGCATTTGGAGAATTTGACCAAGAGGCCAGAATCCACTATCCTGGTGTGCTAGTGAAAGCCAATGCAAGGACTCCCATGAGCACAACAGTGAGTGTTCTTTCCCCCTGTGTCTCCTGCCCCCAAACTCCCTGCTCCCCATGCCTCCCCCAAATCCACTCTGGAGGGTCAGGAGAACCCCCAAAACAGTGGGGGGAGGGATCATCACTGTGTGATGCTGAATTCCACCCTAAAATGCTGGTCGGTTTTTATAAGGACTTAAGAAAAATCACTTGCTGATGTAGTGCACGGAACTTAAGGTGGGGAAAAATGTGAAACTGAAATGGACAGATTCACCCATTCGTAAACGCAGCTCAACCTGTCCTCCAGCTGAAGGGTGGGGAACACATTTAAGAAATGTATACATGCATATAATATGGGGGATAGGGGATGCAGCTTGATTTAAAGAGCAAAAAGGGCATGTGATGGGATGCTGAGGCCTCTCCATGCCCATTTGGACCTCCTACAGACTTTCTCATTATGAGACATTTTCCTCCTGGCCAGGTTCTTTTCTGGCTGAGGGTAAAGTGACCTGTAGTGGGATAAACTGGGAGTGGGAGGTGGAGGGAATCCAGCAGACCACCCCATGCACCCACCCCCTACTTTATGTTTGAGTCAAACCCACACATAAGGAGAAGGTTCCTCGCATCTAGTTTGGCCCTAAAATGGCTGCAAAGGTGTATATTGAACAAAATGGGGACTGGATAGAAAAAAGAGGGAGCTCTTACATTATTGTACTCTCGAGATCCCAATGCTTGCCCTCTCTGCTTGAATTATACCTAGGGGAAACACAGTCATGTACACAGACCAGCAATCCAGGCATAGTTTAAGAGCGCAAATCGCAACGGGAACAATAATATATTAATTTCCTCAGCTTTCTTTCATTCTAAATGCTTTTGTGACCCTGCCTCTCTCCTATTCAGCATATTTCAGATTTTAAAGACTTCTTTGCAGAGAAATAAAATACAGGGCACGCTTTATGATTTAAAGACAGTGGAAGTATTCTTTTTAACTTTAAAAAAAAAAAAACACCCGTAAAGCTGAAGAGCAGCCAAGGCATTGTTTAAAAGCCAAGATTTTATTGCAAGCTGTTATTGAAATTCAGGGTGGTCTTGCTTCTCCACCAAATTGTGGACTTTGTAAGCTTCAAACTCTACTAAATGCAACTTTGAATTTAAATGCCAGAATGTGCATGGTCTTATCACAAATTTTGGACTATGATGGCCTCTAGTACTGAAACTGCAGATTGCTTTGACTAAGAATACAGCCAACCTGGTGTAGTAGATGGTTATTGTTCTGGGCTGGGAAGAGCCAATTCAAATTGAGCCATGGAACTCCCTCTACATCAGTCACGTAGCTCACCTCACAGGGCTGTCATGAAGTTAAAGTGGAAGGGGAAAGAGAATCATGTATGCACACTATTAAGGGAAGAGTAGATGAAGAGTGGGATAAAAATGCATTAGCTGGAATGTTGTTATGTATAATTGCTTAATTCACACTGAAATGGAGAATGCCTATATTGCAGAAAGGGTTTAACTGGAAGATTCCATTGAAGCTCAAGAAGAACTCTCTAAGCACTATTGTTCTCTGCTAGCTAACATGCGAGGCTACTGAATTGCAAATCACGATTTTGAAGGGAGTTACCTTGGCCTTTTGTTCCCAGATGTGATAATGGCTCTCCAGGAGCTACATAGCCTTAGGCAGGATGAAGGCTAATATATAAGATGCTGAGCTTGTGCTGGACATGCACATGATCTTATGGAGCTGTTTGGATGGATCATTTACTGTTTTTTGTTCTGTTTTGATTTAAGTTCTGCATGTAAAGCTTTGAATCTGGTCAACATTTTATTCCAAAAGGAGTCAGTTTTTATGCATCCAGTCACTTCAAGCTGAGCAGTATTAATATCTGCAGTACATGAGACATTTATCAGGTAATTTGAAACTGTGCTGTCCCTTCCACCTGAACTATGGTGGGCCCCTTCCACTTTGGCAGTGCCAAAGAGCAGTAGTCCAGCACCCTAGTAACATTATCTTCACACTTGTTTCTTGTCCAGAGGCAGGGCATCCCAGGATGATGTAGCAGATAGCCATTAGACCTAACCCACAGTGTGAAGTTGGAGGCCAGCTGTGTCACTCTTCTGTCACTCTCCTCTGTCTCTCTCTCCCATCAGTGGTAGGGAGAATCATGAGTCATGACTGGAAAGTAAAGCCTGGGGGAAAAACTTATTATTGTTCATTTATTGCTACTCATACATTATCTCAGTAAAGCTATGACAGCTCATTTGGGTTGTGTAGTATCCTCATCCTCATCACTGATGAAGAACTGAGGATGAGGGAGTGTGACTTGCCTGAGAGGAATTTGTGCTTAGTGTGAAATTCGAATGGAAGACTTTACTGCTAATGCTCAATAGCTGCTGCATTGCGCCTGCACTGCTAAACAGACACAACATGGATATGGTTTTCAACATGATAAGGTCCATGTGGCAACTAAACTGTGAGCCTCCAGATGTTGTTGGACTCTTAACTCCCAGCAGCCCTTGCCAGCATGGCCCAATGGTCAGGGATAATGGGGGTTGAAGTCCATCAACATCTGGAATGCCAAAGGCCTGAATCGCTTCTCCTTAGGTGACGAAATGAGTCCGGCTGCCCCTGAAAAACACCCAAAGTTCTGGAAAAGCAGGGAGGGGTGTGAGATAAATTATGCAACCAAATCCAGCCATACATACTCACTTAATACAGGAAAATATGTGTGCTTTGCAACATTTATTGCTCTGTGGAATAAAATTGGAGTTTAGGGTCACTGAAGTGTAGATTTTACGAATAGCTCATAAGCATGACCTGTGAACAGATGAATATAAAAAGATTGCTCATGAGCTTGTTTGTCTTTTTCCCATGCTTTGAGTTATAAAGGTAAGTCCAGTCATGCCCAACTCTGGGGTTGCGGCGCTCATCTCGCTTTATCAGCTGAGGGAGCCGGCGTACAGCTTCCGGGTCGTGTGGCCAGCATGACTAAGCCGCTTCTGGCGAACCAAAGTAGTGCACGGAAATGCCGTTTACCTTCCCACTGGAGTGGTACTTATTTATCTACTTGCACTTTGACGTGCTTTTGAACTGCTAGGTTGGCAGGAGCAGGGACCGAGCAACGGGAGCTCATCCCGTTGCGGGGATTCGAACTGTCAGCCTTCTGATTGGCAAGTCCTAGGCTCTGTGGTTTAAACCAGAGCGCCACCCGCATCCCCACTTTGAGTTATAGACCAAGGCAGAAGAGGGTGTGGAACCTGGTGCCCTCCAGATGTTGCTGGACCACAGCTCCCCTCAACTCCGACCATTCATTGCACTTGCTGAGGCTGATGCAAGTTAAAGGCCAACAACATAGAATCTTAGAGTTAGATGGGATGCCAGGAGTCATCGAGTCGAATGTCCTGCAAAGCAGGACTCTCATGACAGATGCTTAAAATCCTCCACTGAATGAGAGTCCACAGCCTCCCGGTGGAGTCTGTTGCACCATCAAGCAGCTCTTGCTGTCAGAAAGTTCTTCCTTGTGTTTAGTCAGAATCTCCTTTCTTTTAATTGGAATCCATTGGATCGAGTCCTACCCTCTGGAACAGGAGAAAACATCTGGAGGGCTACAGGCTTCCCACACTTGATGATACTGCAGAGCCCCTGGTTAAAATAATTTTGAGAAGGGTGGGGTGGAATAACACACCTAGAATAAATCTGCCCGACAATAAATGTTGGAAATGTAACGAGACTGAAGGCACATTCTTTCACCTTTGGTGGACATGCCCAAGGATTAAGACATTCTGGGAGATGATTTATAATGAAATGAAAAAGGTATTTAAATATACCTTTCTGAAGAAACCAGAGGCTTTTCTCCTGGGCATGGTCGGCCAATTGGTGTCAAAGAAGGATAGAACTTTCTTTATTTATGCAACAACAGCAGCAAGGATACTCATCGCAAAATATTGGAAGACACAAGATTTACCCACCCGGGAAGAATGGCAGATGAAGTTGATGGACTATATGGAACTGGCGGAAATGACTGGCAGAATCCGAGACCAGGGAGAAGAGTCGGTGGAAGAAGACTGGAAAAAGTTTAAAGACTATTTACAGAAATACTGTAAAATTAATGAATGTTAAAAAAATGTTGGAATGAAGTTATATGGCTTTAGTAGAAATGTTATAAGGAATTAAGTATAAATAGATTAATAGAGAATTAAAGGGAAAAATAAGCTTAGAATGTGTTAAGATAATTATAGGATAGAAAACAGAGGAAGATGGAAAGGAATTGCTGAAATAATTAACAGAAGTGGAATACAAAAAGGGAGGTGTGAGGAGGTCGTGGAAATAAGTGAATGAAAGACGGGATAATGAAATTGTTTGATTTATTTTATTGTTTTTGTTTTGTTTTGTTAGTTTAATGTATTGTATTGTATTGTATTGTTTTTTTAGTGTTTAATTTTTTTGGGGGGGAAAACACACACCTAGAATAAATCAAAAGTCATATTCCGTCAAGTTTTCCAAAGCAGACACACATACACCTCAGTGTGTGTTCCTGGTGACCAACTGAAGCCAGTTTTACAGCTGTTGCTGGAGCTCTTCCGCCCTCTGCTGGGAAAGTGCAAATAATGCATTTCAGAAGTTGCAGTACTAGATTTTTACAAATCCTGCTAGATGTGAACAAATTATCTACAGCAGTGGTTCCCAAACTCACACACACACACCCTCCCAGCTCCCATGGACCACTTGAAAATGGGTGATGGTTTGCTTTTTTCTGTTTGTTGCTGCAGCAATCATAATCCGCTGCTGCTGGACATTGTATGATCTGTAATTGTAATTTTACTGCTTCTTTTATTTCTTAAATTATATTTTATTCTACTGCATTTCATATTTGAATTGCAATACAATAAAATGCAGGATAAGAAAGAAAAGAAGCAATAAAAATACAATCAATAGGAATATGCAATGTGGATATGCTATGGACCACCTGAATCAGGTGTGCAGACCATAGCTGGTGAACCCCTCTTCCAAAGCAAGGTGGGTTGTTCAACCCAAATTTGAATTAATATATTCAGGCTGCTAATATCTGTCACCCAATGGTCCCTTCTTATGACTGTTTCTTCTTTAGTAGCTTCATATTTAGGCTTGCTACCTTAATAGTTTTTAACAGGTATGACTGGCTTTGTGTGTGTGAATCTCCAGTTGCCCTGTTGAGCGTGGTTCCAAAAATATATTTTTTTAAAATGTCCATTGGTTTTGTGCATGAGTGCATGATGTGAGCATCCTTCCTGGGCAACTGGGTGTGACAGGAAGAGACTGCACGTATAGCACTACCCTCCATTTCCAGAATTGTTGATGTTCACCATTATTATTACTAGGGTCTGTTTGTCACAAGGACTAGGAAGCAGAGGCTGGAGCAGAAAGAAGCTGCAAGTAGAGACATGATGGGTTTGAGACTGATCCAGAGAATGTAGATAGTACCCATTTCTACATGCAATATGATTTCCCCTCATCTCTGCCCCCCCCCTTCCCCAGAATTGGAACTTCGAAATATCCATATTTTCAAGATTAGGAAAACCAGTAATGGAGACTTCAAGAGCAGGAGAAAAAGATTCCTTATTTGACAGAAATTCAAAGGCAACATTGAAAGTGAACAGTGATTAACAAGAGACAGAGAGTTGCATTAGGGGTGGCATTTTAGATCATAAGCCTTCAAAGAACATTGCATATTCTGGCATTTCTAACATAATCCTTGTTCCAGAACCTATAACTAGGATTAAGCTTCCTCTTTGCACCACAGACAGTATGACTGGGAGACAAAGGACTGTCTGCCTTAGGGAGTTTGGCCTCCCTTGTAAAGCACTTTGAGGGATACTACTTAAAATATGGCATTGCTTCTGTATTTCTGTAAATCATATATTCTTTGTACATTGATATCTTCTTTGGTGTCTCCCTAAAAGCAAGTGTTATCTAGATAGTAAAAATGTATGGGAAAGTGCAGAAGACAAATTCTCCACAACACTGGAAATGCAGGATTTATGACTGGCATGTTCTGCTCCCTGGTGTGAGAGAATCTCCCCTTTAAAAGAGAAGCCCCTGGTTAAAGGCTTCCTTTTGCCTGACATTCCACAGCAGCCCTTTTCACAAAACAGCAAATTTAGTGACCAGACTGCACTTACAATTAATAAGGCCCCATCTGTATAATACATTTAAAACAGTGTCATGCCACTTTAAACAGTCATGGCTTCCTCAAAATAACCCTGGGAATTGTGGTTTGCTAAGGGTGATGATATGACTGGCGCTCCTGTCAAAGCCCTGGTCGACCTCTGGAACGTCCAAATGGCTCAGGCTGTTGACACGATTGCTCCTGACTGGGGAGGGATACGGGGTGGCATTTTTATGAGGATGTTGTGTGGATGCTAGGGGGAGAAATTGTATGCATGAGAAGAACTGAGTCCACAATAAACTGCCACATGGAAGACTTAATTCCCTGAGAGCCTGGAAAGCTGTTGCCAGTCAGAATAGACAACACTGGAATAGATGGCTTGGTTTAAGGCAGTTGCCTATAATGTGCAACACCTATTAGCTTCATACAGTGGCCCTACAGCTAAATCTCTTTAGATCCCTGCCCTGTGTATGTGCTCATGATTCACTAAGTGGTGCACAGCACTGCAGTCCATCAGATCATTTCAGAATCATCATGAGCGCGATGGGAGTGAGCTGGTGGGGCAGGTGCCATCTTCAAAACAGAAAGGACAGCACGAGGGTTATGCAAAAACGCTTCAATAATTTAATACATCATATTCAGCCATGCAGAAACACTGAGTGGTGCTACAGTGAAAGATCACCAGTATGAAGTTAACTGCGTTTGAAAACATTTAACGGGATGGTATATAAAAGGCAGAGGTTGGAATGAAATGTTGGGATGAAGTTTCACATAATGAAATGTTGCCATTAACAAGATTAAGATACCAACTCTGATGCTGATCAGAACACCTCCAGATTTAAGAGGTGGGCAGGACTCGAGGTTTGATCGTCTCTATAAAGCTTTGCACTGAATACGGTCCATCAAGGACTGTGGCTGAACAGGTGCCATTTAGTTCAATTGGACTTACATGGAAATTCATTGCAAGAAATGAGTAGCGTTTGCCTTGCTGCAGCACTTGCAAGCTCCTTCCTGCCATTGCCTTCTGTTCATTTTTTTAAAAAAAAATTAATTTACATATATCATTATTATCTGTATGCAAAATGAAAGACACAGCACATGATTGTTTGGTAAAAGTAGAGGTTCTTTTCAGCCACTAAAACAAAATGAAAAAAGGTAGGCAGGCAAGTTAGCATCTCACTGAAATAAATGGCAGTTCGTTAGTAGGTAGTAAGTAGGCTGGCAACTCATTGAATATATTTCTGGCAAAATAATTTTTCCTGAACAATTCCTACACTTCTAAAAAGTGACATGTCAACATCAGTGGCAGGTTAACAGTATAAAAGTAGGTTGTAATTAGAAATAGCTGGCAATGCCTATTGGTACCTAACTCCTATTTCCCACAGCAGTAGCCTGCATATATTACTCAAATATATTACTCTGGAGTAAATCAATAGTTCATTTGCACTAACCTTAGCCTAGGAACACTTGCATGAACAGCAGTAATGGTCTTGTTATATAAAAGCTATCAAAAGTAGCCAAATGAAAAAACCAGACCTATTGTCATCCGTAGACTCTGTAGTACGGCCAAAGTGTTGGCGATCAACAGCATCAGCTTTTTGTGCAGAAATAGCCATCATATATCTGTTAGTTAACGTTGACCGGAGGACATCAAAAAGATCCATAAATCACAGTCCTATGCTTCGGTTCCATTTTGAGCATCCAGCTTCTTGATCTGCCGTTGTAACTTTCACTGCCAAGAAGCTCTTGGTGGCTTCATGCTTCTGGCTATGCAAATCTTCAGCCGAAAGGCAGCTCTGGATTCCATTGCGAAGAATGGTCTACGCAGATAACTGATTGGGAGAGAAATGTTGCATGAGTAATAAGGACTATAATCCAGCGGGTGAAAGAACTTTCTATTGCAAGTGGGCCAGTTGTGATTGAAGTAGGAATGCCCTGAAGGTTCACATTTGATACAGTTAGAATGGTACCCTGGTTTTCGAACATAATCCAATGCAGAAGACCGCTCGACTTCCGAAATGTTTGAAAACTGAGGCGCAAAGGCGGTCTACAGAAAACAGGGGGAAATAACATGTCCACGCAGCGGAAGCCATTCGACTTCTGAGGCGCATTCGAAAACGGAAGCATTTACTTCTGGGTGTTCGGCGTTCAAAAACCGAAACGTTCAGCTTCCAGGACATTCAAAAACCGAGGTACCACTGTATAGCCCTAACCCATTTAGTAGTTTATTTGTTTTATTTACATCATGCTTTTCCAGCCGGCAAACTCTGCTGGGGGAAATTTGGCAACCCCCATTTGTCACAGTCACCCATATGTAAAACTTAAACCAGATATAAATTAAAGGAAGTAGATTGAATACTCAGTGGTGATGCAGGAAGCATGCATATACTGTACATGGGGCAATTACAGTGAGGTCATAGGCATTCAAGAGCAGAGATGGGAAACCTCAGGCCCAGGCCCTTCAAGCATCTCTGTCCAGCCCTCAGGACTTTCCTCTGGCTACACACCTCACCAGCCCTACTCTGTGCTAGTCCACAAGTGTTTTTGCCTGGCTGGAATATGTCCTTGAACTGTGATTAATGGCTCCTGCTGACTTTGATGGAGAATGGATGTATGTGTGTGTGTGTTTAGAAATCTCTGAATTTTGCATAGACAAATGTGGACTACTGCACAAAGATAAAAGACACATCTGTTGCTCTGCTCACTCTTGCCTCTGGCCCCACCCACTGTGCCCCCCCCAAGGTTGCCCATGTTGGAATGCAGCCCTCAGGCTGAAAGAGGTTCCTCACCCCAGCATCTCAAATTGTATTAAACTATATTAGCGCGGCCCAACTTTTCAGAGAGTACTTTGACGTGGAACCCTTGTCATGTGGGGTGGGGGGAGTGAGGCCAAAATTTCATGCCCTCCCCCAGCCCTCACACTGCTTTCTCAAAGCTGGCTAAGTGGGCACTGGGATTTGGGAAGGAGGTGTGAGGCTCTGGCAGGGTCCTAGAGCCCTCCTTCCTAAAGCTGGGAGAGCGCTAACTAGGCTTTGGGAAGGACCCTCTCAGATGCTACAGTGCTTGGTAGTCATTGAACAGAAGTGATCATCTAATACAGCCTTCACCAAACTGATCTAATACAATCTAAGCAGTGAACATAGCTGCCTTGTTTGTTTGTTTGTTTGTTTGTTTGTTTGTTTGCTGCTTATATACCAAATGGCTTCTAAGTGGTTAACAGTTTCAAACACCAAAACAACGATCTTAGCACTATGATAAATTAGAGATGCTAGCACACTGGAAACACTAAAAGCACACACCTTTTTAAGAAGTACCTTGAGACGCCGTCTTTGACTGGGTGGGAATCTTGGTAGCCGCATCAGCTGGGAGGCCGACATAAACACCTCCATAGTTCCTTAATGGAATGGAAAAACACCGACATGAAAACCATAACTTAAACTGAGAGTATACCTAATACTAATAGTAGCAAAATTAAATACTTTAACGTTTGTATATAGATCTTTTCAAGTGTTGAAAGCATTTCACATGTGTTAGCTGGTTGCAATCGGTACAACAACCCAGTAGCCTAAGTTAGCATTATTACCATCCATCATGTAAGAGGGGGGAGACAGAGAGTAGAAGGGAGCAGCTTGCTTTAGGTGACCTTGCGTGTTCATTGCAGAGGTAAAATTCAATATGCTAGATCATGCAGCTTTTTTGGAGGAGATATGATAGCAGTCTTCAAGTATCTGAAGGGCTGCCACATGGAAGATGGAACAAGCTTCTTTTCTCCTGCTCTGGAGGGTAGGACCCAAACCAATGGATTCAAATTACAAGAAGATTCCAACTAAACATTAGGAGGAACTTTCTGGTGGTAAGAGCTGTTTGAAAGTGGAAGAGACTCCCTCAGAAGGTGGTGGACTCTCCTTCATTGGAGGTTTTTAAGCAGAGGTTGGGTGGCCATCTGTCAAGGATTCTTTAGCTGAGGGTTGGACTAGCTGATATCTGGGGTCCCTTCCAGTTTCTACGATTCTATGATTCTAAGCAATCTGCTTGCTCCAGTCTCCGTTTTGCCTGTTTGGGATCAACCCCTTGCTCAAGGTGATCCAGTATTGCATTAAAAATTAAATTAAATTAAAAATTAAACAACTATTTTACTTTGAAAAGACAACTGAAGGTAGCCCTGTTTAGGGAAGTTTTTAATGTGTGACACTGTATTGTTTTTAATATTCGGTTGGAAACTGCCCAGAGTGGGCGGGGTATAAATAAAAAATTATTATTATTATTATTATTATTATTATTATTATTATTATTATTATTAAAATTCAAAATGGATCCCAACAATACGGATAAGACACAGTTCTTGAATGTTATACAGAATGGCAGAAGCAGCTCACTATTTAAGGCTCAGCCTCTTTCTTCTCAGCCTCAACTCTCCCTCTCTCAAGAAAGTAGCTCAGTTTCTCCATCCACAGCAGACGTCAGCTCTCAAGGCATAGCAAGCCAGACTGTGCAGCTGGTCATAGAAAACGGACTGCGCCAACCGATCAATTGACTATTACCAATTGACGGTTCACTACTGCAGCCATCTTGTTTGCCTGATCAACATGCGGAGGGAGGCTCAGCTAATTGGGGGAAGGGCTCTAACCCTGTAGCCTCCCCTCTTAAAAGTCTCTTTGAATAACCCACAGCAGTTTTCCATCAAACATTCTGTTTAAAGAATGTGGCCTTTCACAGGCCTTCTATGCATCATTGTTTACTCTAAGAAAGGTCCTTAATTTGCTTCTGTGCTATGACTGTTTCCCAGCATCAGGGGGTAAAGTAGAGGTTGAGATGACAACAATATATTGGGGGGGGGCACGTGCAGCTAAACTCCCTAGGAATCTCTGCTCATGCAACTAAACCAAAATACAGTGGTTGGTTTGGGATAATAACCTAAAAACCATCCCTTTCCCTGTGTTCTTTCCTCATGAAATGGAAATCCATTTTGGATCGTACAACTTCACCCCAATCCACGGCAACATACCTCCTCTTGTCATCTTCTGACACTGACTCTTCTGTTCTGCAATGACATAAATGACAAAATAGATTGTCGAAACTCAGTTTTAGATTCCCCACCCAACCCTTTCTGTCGATAGCTAAGCTTCTATAGTCAAACCTCTGTTCCTGAGCACCTCCATTATTGTACGTTTCAGCTCCCAAATGCTGAAAACTCAGAAGTAAATGCTCCGGTTTTTGAACATTTCTCGAAACCTGAATGTCCGACGCAGGTTTTTTTGCTTGTGTGCAAGAAGTTCTTCCAACCAATCGGAAGCTGCGCCTCTGTTGTCAAACGTTTCGGAAGTCAAACGGTCTTCCGGAACGGATTACGTTTGACAATCAAGGTTTGACTGTATTTGCCAATGACTCATTCTCCTACTTCATTGAGCCTTCTGCTGACAGAAATAGGAGAAAGTCATAGCTGCCCCAAGCAGCTCCAGGCTCTAGGCATTTCCCACAAGGCCCCTGATGCAGTATGACTCTGGACTATTGTGGACGTTGAAACATAGTGAGGCTCTCAAACATCTGGTAGTCCTTTTGCTCAGAGTGCAGCTGCAACCAAGCAAGCCAAGGGGGCTTACCAACAGAGGAAGGAGCTCACTAGAGGGCACTTTATGAGGGGGATATTACATATGCATCACCAAAAAAAAGGAACTGTAACCTCCTTCCAGCAACTCCTGCAGCCAAGAGAACATCAAACATACTCCTCTGTTTTCCTTTGGACCACATCAGTGAGACCGAGAAGGGGGTCTTGTTGTCTGGGCAGTCCAGAACCTCCACACACTGCCCAAGCTTGTACCCCAGAAATGAGGACTATAATTTAAATAGAAATGTAGTACTTTTCACTACAGTGGAGGTTATACTTTCGATGGGTAGCTTCAGTGCCCCTGCCTTCCTTTCTCAGGCAGCCCTTCAAATAGAGGACTGTCCACGGTGAAACAGGACACATGAACACCACCATAACTTTGCCAGGGGCCTCAAGGACTGCAGAGAAGCACTGAATGAAGGACAAAAAGGGGAGGTTTGTGAACATGAGTCCTTGGGGAACATTTCTGCATAGCATTCTCCTCTCCAGAGATAAATAATGTAGGAATTATTACTGTGGCAGTTTATATATTACAGCCAATCTCCAAACTTTGGGGAAGGTCAGTATTCACATGCGTCCGTCAGCAATCCCAGTTAGATTTTGTGAATGTCTAAACACTCAAGAAATACCTTAGTGAATACTGATAGCTTGTGTGGGCTGGGGGTAATGGGAGTTGCCATCCAAAACATCTGGCAGGGCTGATCTATTTGTTCCCAGCAGGAGGCAAAGCATTCTCGTGAATTCCTAAATGCAAAGTTGAAAGCTCTCGACTGTAAAGACTACTTTAACAAAATCACAACTCTGGTTGCTATGATATGCGGCTATTGGAGCACCCTCACATCAGATGTCAAAGAGATAAATAACTATACAACTTTTAGAAGACATCTGAAGGCAGCATTATATGGGGAAGTTTTTAATGTTTGACGTTTTATTATGCTTTTATATTTGTTGGAAGCTGCCCGGAGTGGCTGGGCCAACCCAGTCAGATGGGTGGGGTACAAATAATAAAATTATTGTTATTGTTGTCATCGTCATCACCACACACATTAATAATTACTACTACTACAATTTATTACCTGCCCTTCCCCCTAAGGTCCCAGGGTGTGTTACAACAATTAAAACACAGTAATATTAAACACAATATTTTAAGAAGCTTAAAGCAAATTAAAATTACAAAAAACAAGTTGGCAGCTATTAACTTTCAAAGCTTACATGCAATATCCATGTGCAACATTTCTGGAAGCAGAACTGCCACCCACATTGCTATCTCTATCTGGGGAAAGACACCCCTCCTCAAAAGTTTATTACTGCCATTTCTGGTCACAGGCTATTTCTGGAATTTGAAAGTTTTAGGGCAGGAGAAGGGGACTTCTGGCTCTCAAAATGTTGCTAAACTAAAATACCCATCACCCCTAACCACTGGACATGCTGGCTCTAGTTCAACCAGCCATCTGCTCTGGCTCCACTACCTGTTGGCATCTCTGCCTTCCACCCTGCCAGTCTCCACTGAGAAGGAAGAAGTTAACAATCAGGGCTTTTCGGCTTTTCTGTTTTCCCTCTAATATTTCAAGCTCTATTGTCTCTGGCAAGCTTTGAGGTCCCATCTACTTTATGAGGTCATTAAATATCCCTTGGTGCATTGCACAAATGTGCCTTTCTTTTATTCAGTCCAAAAATTCTTAGTCCAGAGCCCTTCAGAAGTAGAAACAATTCAATGGTGGTGTTAAAGCTTCTTGTTTTTAGTTTCAAATACAGTCGTGCCTTGGATCCTGAACGCCTTGCAACTCAAACATTTTGACTTCCAAATGCCACAAACCTGGAAGTGAGTGTTCCGGTTTGCAAATGTTCTTTGGAAGCAAAATGTCCGACGCGGATTCCAGTGCAGGAAGCTCCTGCAGCCAATCCAAGTCGCGCCTTGGTTGTCAAACATTTTCGGAAGTTTAATAATAATAATAATAATAATAATAATAATAATAATTTATTTATACCCCATCTGACAGGTTTGTGCCACTCTGAGTGTCTTCCAACATAATATAAAAACACAGCTAAACATCAAGCATTAATAATCTAGTATGCACAGCACAGCACAGCAAGAGAGCTATGCTTCTGTTGGGACCATAGAACACCGGTCCTGAAAGACCTACATTGGCTCCCAGTACGTTTCCAAGCACAATTCAAAGTGTTGACGGTGACCTTTAAAGCCCTAAACAGCCATGGCCCTGTAAACCTGAAGGAGTATCTCTACCCACATGGTTCAGCCCGGACACTGAGAGTTCAACTCTGAGGACCTCCTGGCGGTTCCCTCACGGCAAAAGGTGAGGTTAGAGAGAACCAGGCAAAGGGGCTTCTCAGTAGTGGCACGTTCCCTGTGGAACGCCCTCCCATCAGATGTCAAGGAGATAAGTTTGCAACCTTCAGAAGACATCTAAATGCACTCCTGTATAGGGAGGTTTATAATGTTTAATGTTTTATTGCGTTTTCATGTTGGAAGCCGTCCCAAGTAGTTGAGGCAACAGAATGAGATGAGTGGGGTACTAAATCAATCAATCAATCAATCAATCAATCATCTATTAAAACACTTTAAAATTAAGTCTTATATTAAAGTACTTACATATGCAATAGACGAAAGTTAATCATGTCCATTGATTTCAATAGGTCTATTCTAAGTAAGGCTACATAGGATACAACTCAATACATTCAAACCCCTCAAAGTTGCAAATCTGAATGATCTCATCCAAATCTATAAGGTTGTCAGCTACCATGATGCTTAAATGTAAGCGTATTTGTAAGTTGATGGACCTGGAAAGCTACTATTGACACAATTTCTTTAATGCATTTTTTTTAATGGCGTTGACGCTTTGTTTCTTCAACAGAAAAAAGAAAAGAGGCTCTGTACCTTTAACACAACAGGTAGAATTCAACAGGTGCAGGCCATCTTCCCTTCACTGCATTTCCACATCAGCAAAGGCTTCACCTATTGTTGTGCAGCTATGGAAAGCTCCCGTCTACAAAAAGGTGGCAAACTAGTATTTTATACATCTACATACTTCATCGTTCCTTCCTGCCTGGTGACTGACTCTTAGAAAAAGCTCCTAGAATGATGGATCTAGGACGTTCATTACTGCTATAATTAGCTACACGGGACTTGTGGTTTTATTGCAGTCCAGCTGCTCCTCCTTAACCACCCCACTGCTTTCATCATCCACTTAACATCTGCTCTATTAATTAAGGAGCCCCAAGAGAAAGCACAGCAGGCAGAGAGGGAATTTCAGCAGGAGTTGTTTATGCATTTGGCACCTGAACATTTCACGGTTGTGTAGAAAATGAGATTTCAACAGGTGTATCTGGACATGCAAGCCACTGAAATTCCCTTATGTGGACAACTGTGAAAGGCGCAAGGATCCCTTCTGCTTTCTCACTTGGCCACCCACACAGAGAATAATTTCCAGGTTCCGAAGTGGTTGCGTATGCGGTGATAGAGGTGATGAAAATGATGCAGCCAGTGCGGTGTAGGGTGTCATACTGGGAGGGTTCAAATTCCCTCCCCCCTCAGCTATGAAACTCACTGAGTGACCTTGGGCCTGCCACTCACTCTCAGCCTAACCTACCTCGCAGAGTCGTTGTGGGGATGAAACAAGAGAGGCGCAAAAAATACATGCTGCCTTAAGCTCTTTGCAGAAAAAATGGAACATAAATGCAGCAAACAAACAAATAATCCTGAATCACCAGCTAGGAATACTGAGGTCCAGGCAGCAGGCAGGCGAAAGCAGAAACACAGCCCAATGCAATGTGATTTCTTTTGCAAGCATGCGACTCATGCCCAGCAAGACAGAAAAGCCTTTCAAACAGATACTAGCAAATTTGCTTCGGTGATTTAATGCTAGCATTAATAAAATAAGGCAAGCTGGGTTTTTTTCAGGTGCAGAAAAAACAGAAGGCAGGTTCATTCAACACACACCTTCCACATGCTGAAATAATTGTGGTGGGGGGCACACACCAAGGCTAGCCCCACCCCCACAACTGATGCATGCCACAGCTGCATCCTTGTTTGGTCAGTGCAGGAAGGGGGCCAGTCATGTCCGCCTTATGGAGTGCATCATGGTGAGCCTCTGTGGGGAGGGGTCCTGTGGACCTCCAAGCATGGACAACTTTTTCACCAGCTGCACAGCAATCCATGGTTGATGACAGCCTGGTTCAAATGCTGTGCCCTATCATATCCCCATCTGCCCAGAGACTTCAAGATTTCTTGAATTCAATGGAGCCTGCTCCCAAGTAAGAAGGTTACAACGGAAGCTTTACTTAAAACCTGTCAACCCTGGTTAGAAGCTATCATGAGATGGTTACTGGCTCTGGTAATCATTTGATAATTCAAAATATTTTATAGACAATGCAAAAGATATATACTTACACATCTATTGCTGTTCCTGCAGTTTCTAGAAGGGAAAGAGCAAAATGAAGGTTGGGTGTAGAAATTTGGTGTCACTTGTTCAATCCGTCATTTATTTGTATGCCACTTTTCCAAAGGTCAAACCACGCGCAAAGCGGCTTACAACACATACAAAATTACATAACTACAAACGTAACAAAACTAGTCATAAACCATAAACAAAACATCAAAAAGTACACAACTAAATGGGGGGGGGGAATCCACATAAATCACGAAGAGACCACAAATGTGCAGAAATGCACCCCTTAAATTTCCACTTCCATCATTTCTAAGATATTGGTGTCAGGCGTGCTAAAGAGCTGGGTGACAACAGGGCTGTTAAACTGGTGCCAGGCCAGCCAAAGCAGGCCCTAACCCAAACGTGAATCTCCAAGCTTATTCCACTAAGACATATCTTTCTTAGCCACTGCATTTAAAGATCAGGTTGATTATCATAGTGACATCGATCCCCTCCCAGGATTGAACTTGGAACCATTTTAAATATTGTAACGTTTTTATTGCCAATTAGTTAGAAAACATCTGTTATTAATACACCCTTCGAAAGGCAGGCATATAAAAATATACGAAAAATTTAAAAAAAGCAGAATGGAAGGCAACAACAAACACCACACTTTATTCCCCATCATATCAGCAGCTCCCTGTTCATGACTCACTCAACCACTAAATGCACAGAAGGCAGGAATCAATTAAGGATGACCTCCTTCTTCCTCCCCTGTTATGAAAGGCTGTTTTATTGCTGCTGAAATGTCATTCAATGAAGCCTGCAGGGAAGCAGCCCACAGATAGCTTCTGCTGCAGTCCTAACCCTGTTCACTTGACAGTAAGCTCCACTGACTTCAGTAGGGCTTACTTCTGAGTAGACGTGGGTAGAATGGTGCTGCTAGACATTGGACACTTTTTAAAAAAAATGTTAAACCTTAAATTTAAGGCTTAATGTGAACTTGAATGTTTTGGTAGCTATGTATCATCTATCTATCTATCTATCTATCTATCTATCTATCTATCATCATTTAATTGTATATCACCCTTCATCTGTAGGTGGTTCACAACATAAAATTACAGTATAAAAAATGCAAAATACATAATAAAAATAAGAAAAAACCCAAAACTAATAATCTTCCCCCTCCCACAACACATTTAAAAGGGCATTGGATGTCAATCAGCCAAGGGCCTGTTTGAAGAGAAATGTCTTCGTCTGGCACCTAAAGGTGTATAATGAAGGTGCCAGGCAAGCCTCCCTGTGAAGAACATTCCACACAAATGGGGAGCCACTGCAGAAAAGGCCCGTTCTCGTGTTCCCACCGTCCAGACCTCTCACAGGGGAAGCACACGAAGAAGGGCCTCAGATGATGAATGAAGTCTGGGTCAGTTTATATGGGAAGAGGCAGTCCTTGAGGTATTGGGGTCCTGAGCCATTTAAGGCTTTATAGGTCAAAACCAGCACTTTGAACTGGGCCCAGAAACTAACTGGCAGCCAGTGGAGTCGGACCCGGATTGATGTAATATGCTCAAACCTTCTTCCCCAGTGAGTAACCCGGTCACTGAATTTTGCACCAGCTGAAGTTTCTGAACTTTCTTCAGAAGCAGCCCTACGTATAATGTGTTCCCAGCCTGGTGCCCTCCAGATATTTTAGACTACAACTCCCATCAGCCCCAGTCAAAATGGCCAGTGGTGAGGGATGATGGGAGTTTTAGTTCAAAATTATCTGGAGCGCACAAAGTTGAGGGAAGTGGGCATATTCTATGCATGGGGATTCCCTGAAGACTGGAAAGTAGTCACCAATTTATAAAAGGAATCCAGGGTGGATAATGGAAATTACAGGCCAGCTAGCTTCACATCTCTCCTGGGAAAACTGGTGGAAAATATTATTAAAAAGAAGCATCCTAAGAAGTGCAAGCCTTGCTGAAGCAGAGACAGCATGTCTGAGTTCTTTGAGAGTATAAACAACAATAGAGAGAAGTGATCCGATTGACATAGTATACTTGGGAGTTTCAAAAAACTATTGACAAGGCACCTCGGCAAAGACTCCTGAGTAAGCTTAGCAGTCATGGAATAAGAGGAGAGGTCCTCTTACGGATTAGGACTTGGTTAAGTAGCAGGAAGCAGGCAGTAAGGACAAATGGACAGTTCTCCAAATGGGGAGATGTAGAAAGTGGAGTACAGGGTCATTCGGGGATCCATATCTGGACCTGTGCTTTTTAACTTGTTTGTAAACTATGTAGAGCTAGGAGTGAACAACCAAGTTTGCTGATGATACTAAATTGTTTGAGTTGTGTTTTGTTGTTTTTTTTAAAAAACAGATTAGATAGACAAAGAGTCTGACCTGGACTATGACAACTCCTGCATTAGCTCCATTGAAATGAATCAGCTTTGTGCAGGGTAAGCTGCCCGTGGATTGTTGGTAGCTATTCTAAAGAGACAAAAAGGCATTCCACTCTAAAGTGGACTTAACCAGAGATTTGTCCTGCACTGCTCATTAAAGTGTTCCCACTTTGAGCTGAAATGAATTCAGCAGCTAAGCAGCATCAGATTTAAAATATATCAGAGGGAAACAGAAAAAAAATATTAAATAAATAAGGAGAAGATAGCAAGAGCAGGTCAAATCCAAACAGTGGAAAACCTTAGATAACCAGCACCGAGTTCATCTTGTAAGAACTTAGGTTTGAATTTGTGACCTGGGCTTCAGTTGCTTAGATGACAAAAGATACAATGGGAGCCCCTTGCATTCCATGCACAGAAGCTGACTGAACTGGCAGGTCAAATTTACTTCAGCATTGTCAATGGGGCAGCATTTCCTGCTACACCAGAGGGCAATAGGTTAGCTTAGGTGTAGGGGGGCGTGCTGCATGGCACGCACAGCTTTATGTGCCAACATCTAGCTGCCACTTTCCACCCACACTGAACCCCCCACCCCACCTGAAGCAGCTCTATCACCCTTCCAAATGATAGGGGTGGTCCTGGAAAGCAAAGCAAGACAAATCTGCCCCCCTTGATGGCCTCTCGGTCAGTTTCCTCATCCTGACTGGCATCAGATGCTAGAAACAACCACTTCATTGTACAGAAGAAGCAGATAGAGAGGAAATAAGAAGAGGAGGAGGCAATATAAGGGGTCTGTCACCATTTTCTTGTAGTCTAGGGCCTTTGGACTGCCCATCTTATATTACCATTGTAGCAGGAACCCCCCCACCCCAATCATTCAGTTTATACAAACTTCACACACTCACACTCACACACTACATATGCCACACTTCTGTTATAAATTCATAGAAAAATCAACCATACATTGGATTTGCACTGTTCCATTTTTATTTTACTCCATATGACAAGGACTATCAAAGGGGGGTGGCTTGGTTCTGGTCAGCCATAATCCCTTCACCATCCCAGCACATCCACAGGAGCCCTGCCCAGTTGCTATGCCAACCCTGATGGTCCTAGACAGAAGACCATCAAGATCACAAAGAACTTGCATATGGGAGTGGATTCAGCATGGACTGAAACAAAGGACAATGATCAGATCTTCCCTCTGGGGGCAGGAAACTGCCAACTCCCCTTTGTCTCCTGGAAGTGACTCATGGGCCGGGGGAAAGGAGGAACCAGCCAGGTGACAGGACACTCAGGTTACCACCACAACTCCTCCCTCAACCCCTCCTTTCTGTAATGTATGCATGATGTCAACTGCTCCTTTCTGTAATGTATGCATGATGTCAACCCCTCCTTTCTGTAATGTATGCATGATGTTTCTGGGGGTGGGCTTGACCTAGAGGATGGGAATTTCAAAAGTTTTTATAAGGTCTTGCACACCATCTTTCTGGGTCTTTCCTCTCTCCTGCAAGTGAGGGGAACACCCTGTTGCAACAGTCTTTTCTTCAATAAAGACCAAGCCTACTGGCTGCTGATTTGCTTCCAATTGCTCTGGTTGGTGTCTTTGTTTTTGTCCAAGGGAGCCCTCAGATTTTCCGTTAACAGTTGGCGACCGTGCTCAGGGACACTTGGTTCTCCTGCGAAGGTGAGGAGGGAGATAGAGGGGATCAGGCGCCACTGGGCAACCTTAGCCCAGGAATCCTTCTTTCTCTCCCTGCCTCCTCTTTGCGGGCGGTAATCAATCGTCACCAAAAGCTCAACCAGGGGAAAGGATCCCGGGATCCACGAGGGACATCTACGAACGTGAGTATGGTTTGAAGAAAATACATTGGGAGGGGGTGGAAAGCAACGTCCCCACGACAGCTGGACTTTTTCTTCCTTCTATCTCTGGCGTTACCTCTCGGAGTCGTCCAGGAACGTCCTAAACTTTCTCTGTCTCTCCCCTATTTCCCTTTCGGAGCTGGGCCGGGGAAATTGTGGAACCTTTGTTGTATTCCGACGTTACCTCTCGGAGTCGTCCAGGAATGTCCTAAACTTTCTCTGTCTCTCCCCTATTTCCCTTTCGGAGCTGGGCCGGGGAAATTGCGGTGCTTTGCTATTTCTCTGACGTCCTCCCTCGGAGTCGCCCGGAGGCGTCCATCCAAAACCTCCCTCTCTCCTTTTCTCCCCGTTTTTCCCTTTCGGAGTGTGGCCAGGGAAAAGCGCGGTACTTTGCCATTTCTCTGACGTCCTCCCTCGGAGTCGTCCGGAGGCGTCCATCCAAATCTCTCCTGCTCTCTCTCTCTCTCTCTCCCCTGCTTACGCAAATGAAGCCGCCCCCCCCCCCCGCTCGGCGACCCTTGCTGGGGATGACCCGGGTACGTGAGAACGCAAGGTCATTTGCTTCCTTTCTAAACTTTGTTTTCTCAGACCTCGATCTGGCACTGCATTGCGCAGGCGTCCAGTAGGGAGCCCGAATTTAGTCTAAAGGCTAGGCAGGAGGCTGTCGTGGAGAGCAGAGCGGGAGGTTCACAAATTGGGGCCCCACACTAGGGTTAGTCTTGTAAACAGCGCTGAGGCAAAGGAATTCCCGGATCCGTGGTTTGAGTTTCGGGCGAGGAGACCCGTGGTTTGAGTTTCGGGCAGGGAGACCCGTGGTTTGAGTTTCGGGCGAGGAGACCCGTGGTTTGAGTTTCGGGCGAGGAGACCCGTGGTTTGAGTTTCGGGCGAGGAGACCCGTGGTTTTTGTTTTAGGTTCATGTCTGAGATTTTCCTGAAAGTAATTTGTGACTTACAGATAGGTAGAAATTGGGTTAGTCAAGGATACTTCGAGTACTGAAAGGATATTTTCCCCCCTTTTTTTCCCCCTGCCCCTCTTTTCCTTTTCCATTGCCCCTTCTTCGCTTGTGCGTGTGTCCACTTTTTCTGTCTTTAGCGTACTGCAAAAGAATGGGGGCCCATGCTTCCAAGCATTCAGGCTGGACTCCTCCAGGCGATAAGGCTTCCGCGGAGCCTTTCCGCCCAAGGGAGGACTCTGATACCCCTCTTCAATTTGTTCTCTTAAACTGGAAAGAGTTGAGAGGGTCAGACTTCCGGCGAGGCAGCATGGCGGCTGCAACAGCAGAAAAGAGCTCCTGAAGCCAGCCAGAGTAAAAGGCTCTGTCTGGCCGACTCCTGGGCTCCCAGGACTGCTGCCGCCAGCACCGCCAGCGGAGAGGAATCGGGGGTGCCCGGGGAGCCTATCAAAGGAGCCAAAACACCCCCCCCCACAGAGATTGAGCCGGAAAGACACCCGACCACCCCCCCCCAACAGCCGAGAGGAGCTCCAAAACCAGGAGGACAGTGGAGCTAACGCAGAGAGGGAGAAAAGAAAAGGGGGAAAGAAGAAGAAAAAGAAAGAAAGAAAAAGGAGCCCCAAACTTACCGCTGCTGCCCCCATCTCTGCTGACAAGAAAGCAGAGGAGAGGTAGGTGAGCACGGGAAGGCAAAAGAGGCTCCGGAAAAAACACGTGGCTGAGCCCCACCGGGAGCTCCAGCAGCAAGGAAAACACAGAGAAGCTGCATAGCAAAGGGGATTTCCCCCCCCCTTACTGTCTTCTCTTTTCTTTTTTTTTAACCCCCCTTTGTTTTTAACCCCTTCCTCCCCTCCCTCCCCCTTTAAAATATATATATATATATCTTTTTTATCCCTCCCCCCCCCATATACCTACTTTTATCACTTTTCTTTTTAAAAGAGGGGCCACTGCTGCTGCAGCCACCCTTTATTTGAATCTTTATTTTTATTGCTATCTTTTCTACACACTATTTAAAGACACACTTTTCCACACACACACTCTGAATTCAAACCTCATTTTATTTCCACCTCAAACTCCCCTCTTAAGAACTAAAATGGCAGTACCCAGGAAACAGCCCTGAACCATCACAGGCCATTTCCTGGGACTGCCACTTCGCCCCAGACTTTCCACTCTCTTTTACCTATCCTCTTTTACCTATACTTTACTCATTTTTTAAAATAAAATAAAATAAAAAGCTCTATCTATCTATCTATCTAAAGACAACCCCCCCCTTTTTTTTTTAACCTTTAATTCTCATTTTTATATTTTACCCGTACATTTTTAATTACTTTTTTACAAACAAAAATAATAACAATAATTAGGGAAAATATTATTATTATTATTATTTTTAAAAAAAACAAAAAAACCAAAACCATACAATTATTATTTTTCTCCCCTCTTTCTCTTTTAAAGCCCTTTCTTTTCTATTTGTTGGCTTGTTCTTGAGGGGGAATCTTTCGCCCCAGCTACGACCACCACTCTCTTTTAAAACAAAACTTCCTCCATATCACTGCTATTGCTATTGATACTCTCCCCTCAACTCCCCTCCTTTTATTTTTCTCTCCCTTTTTCTCTCCTCTCTCTCTTCACCCCTCCTCATTTTTTCCTTTTATCCCACCTTTCATTTCCCATCCCCAATTTTGTTCTCTATCCCTTTAATTTTTTTTTTAAATCAACCCCCCCTTTTTAGCCTGTTCATCAGTTTGTTTTTGAGAGGGGAGCCCTTTCCCCCACCCCTATTTTAAAATAAGACTTTCCCCATACCATTGCAGCAGCTCACCCTCCCTCCCTCCCCTCTCCCCCTCTCTTTTCTTCTCCTTCCTTTTCCCACCCTTCCCCCTCCTCCTCTCCTTTCTCTCCCTCCTCCCTCTCTCCATCCCCCCCTTCCCCTAAAGGAAACACATACACACATTCATATCACCCTATCACAATTTGCCCCCCTCATACTATAGCTAAAACTACTGCTGCATTCTAATACCGCTGATATTACTGTACTATCTCTCCCCGCTCTTTCAACTCTCGTGTTGTCCCTCTCTCTCGTCTCTTTTACTCCAATCTCCCCCCTCCCCCCCGCCTCCCCCCTTCTTCTTTCTTTCTTCTTCTTCTTCCCTTTTTTCTCCCTCCACCCTTTACATATAGCCTATTTGTCTGTCTCTGTTTCTGAGCGCACTCCCAACCCCAACTTCCACCTTAACTGGACCCCAATACCCCTTCTGGGCATATACAACCCCCTCCTAAACACATATTTACCCTGACCCCACCCCACTAATCTCTTGCAAATCTACCTTCTAACCCCCACCCTTTATATGAACTGTCTGTCCGTTAATCTACCCATCTCTGCTTACCTGCCCCCCCCCACCTCGGCGGCACCGCTGAGGCATCCACAAAAGCCCTAGAGAAGTTCTTAAAACACAGGCTAGAAGTGACACAAATGACCACCTAATCCAAACGCTCTGTAGAAGCCACCAGCCAACAAAGCCTGATCAGCTCAGCAACCCAACAATACCCAGGAATCACCACTGCCACAACTCCTAACCACCACACGCCCTACCCCAAGAGGACGCCAAGCCAACCTCAAACCAAAACCATCAGGGAGACCGAGATGACACCAACCAGGGAGATGGCAAACAATGCTAAGATGGTAACTCCCCTTCAAGATGACGACCACCCAATAACGAAACGAGATCTGAGGGAAATGGAAGCAAGATTAGAAGCACGATTAGAAGAAACACTGAAGGCCACAATGGCTCCCATGCAGGTACTAATCAACAATCTAACCTCCAAAGTGGAAGCTCTAGAGAACAAGAACCAAATGCAAGAAAGAATAATAGAGCAATACCGGGAGGAGAACACACGTGTGAACAAGAAACTGGACGAACTGGTAAACCAAATGGAAGCAGAACACAGAGAGATGAAAATTAAGCAAGCCGACCTCGAAGACCGCAATAGACGTTGTAACATCCGCTTCCGCAACTTTCCTGAAAAACAGAGGAGAAAAGCCCAGCAGACCTAATTATACGCTGGCTGAAAAACACAATCCCAAGCCTGAAACTTGAGGCAGATGACTTGGAGAGGGCTCACAGAGCCCTAAAACCTATGCCAAAACCCAGCGCCCCCCCAAGAGACATCATTGTATGCTTCACACGCTACAAAAAGAAGGAAGAGGTATGGAACCATCTCAAAAACTCAACCAACCTTCGATATGGAGAAACCCCCATTCTGGCCTTACAGGACCTTTCTCAGGATACCCTAAACCGGAGGAAAAGCCTGCGCCCATGCACCCAGCGTCTCCAACAAGCAGGGATCAAATACCGATGGGGCTTCCCTTCCGCCTCATTGTAACAACCAATACAACACAACACATGGCTACCAACATACCTGAGGCCCTGCAACTACTAAAAACCTTGAACTCAACCTCCCACCGGAATGGCAACCGACAAACCCACCAAGTGACAGCCCCAACCACGAGGAAACAACAGCAAACAACTGGACAACGGTACAGAAGAAAAAGAAACAACAGAAGCGGCACAACAACGCAAACCAATACAGGCAAGCATCATGCTCAGAACCGTCCCGCCGGCCATACGACACAAGAAACCAGACCAAGATCAACCAAACCAATTCATCGCAGATGGACAACCCTACAACAACAACAACCCCAGCTGAATGAAGCAACCAGGAAAAAACCACAAACTGAAGGACTGGTGACTCCCCCCCCCCTTTCCCCTCTCCCCCCCCCAAAAACATAGATTTAGTTAACACCATCAACATCCCCCCCAGCCCCGCACCCCCACAGGAATCCCCAACCCAACACCAGTCCAGACGACCTCAACCACATTCCCCATCACCCACACCTTCAACACCCCCATACTCCATACTAGGGAAAACAACTCCCACAACCTTAATAACACAACCCACAATCAGGCTAAAATCTGATACCCAACCAGCACTATGGTGGCACCAGAGCGTACCAGCACCCACATCCCCACCCCAACACACCAATAATGTTGCTCATAACATTGGCAACATTGCTTATGAACCTTATACCTGACAGCGACGTTACAAAGTCACTTCACACTGTCTCACTGATCACCCCTATCGCAAACAACAGGGGGGATGGCCTGTCCTTGAACACGGCCTTCCACACCAGCTGAGACCTAGGACCAACTGGCTAAATGCCAGATGGCCTAAAATACCCCAAACAAACACCTATATGACTACATATAGGAAACTCTCTACAACTTACCCCTACTCTTTAACCCAAATCTTACTCTAATCCCATTAGCCCCCACCCACCACACCCTAGGTCAGCGCAACCCCACTTTTTTAAACAACACGAAGAGAGAGACACAAGACAACCCGAATGGGTTGGCAAGGAATTGCCCCACATAATAGATAAGCAAGATGGCTAACCTAAAAGCAATTACATTAAACGTGAGGGGGCTGGGAAACCCCATCAAAAGAAAACGCATCACCTCATACATAAACACCATGAAACCACACATCACCTTCCTACAAGAAATACACAACCCACCCAAAGGCAGCAAACTCCTGAGCGACCCCCGCTTCAGTCAACAGTGGGTCGCACGAGGCTCAGGGAAAGCTCGTGGTGTAGCCATAATACTCAGTAGAGACCTGAACTTCACTGCCACAACAGTCCTCAAGGACAAAAAGGCAGATTCATTTTCGCTAAAGGGACACTAGATGGCAAAATCAAACTGACAATCGGCTCCATATATGCCCCAAACACGAAACAATTAGAATTCTTCCAGAAGACACTAAACAAATTCCTCTCCTTCTCTGAAGGGGAAGCAATCCTAGGAGGGGACCTCAATCTAAATATGAAAGGTATATCCCTGAAAGATATCCACCCAACCCCAACAACCAGGAACTCTTACAAGTTACTAAAAATGCTAAAAAAACGGGTCTCTACGACATTTGGGGTGAGCAAAACCCGGGAGACATCAGCCATACATTCCAATCAGGACGCCATGATACAGTGTCCAGACTGGACAGCATTCTACTCACACAGGGTCTGATCCNTCAGTAGAATCAACAAACATAGGTAACATTAAAATCACAGACCACGCCCCAGTAGAAGTCATTGTTAAAATAGGAGAAGGAACACAAACCACCCCATCATGGTCCTTCAGTCCCATCCTAACTACAAACAAACAAATTAGAGAGAGTCTCACAAAACCCTCCAAAACTACTTCAAAGAAAACGATGTAAACAATATAACAACCCCTCCTATGGGACGCAATGAAAGCGGTCACCAGAGGAGCTTGCATAAAAGAGAAAACATTCCTTAAAAACAAACCTCCTCAAAAATTAGCAAAATAGAACAAGACATCACAGCCCTCTCATCACGCTACAAACAAACAGGATCTAAAAACTCCTCAAACTTATAGAACAAAAAAGGAGAGAACTAGACTCCTAGAAATTAACAAAACAATGATCAACATTCTATACTCTAAACAACGTTTCTACGAATATGGAGGGAAAACTCCAGATTACTAGCAAATAGATGTAGGAAAAAGCACTCAAAACAAGAATACACTGCATCACCAAAAAGACGGCAACATAACATTCTCCCCCAAAGAAATAACCTCAGAATTTGCAGAATTCTACTCCAACCTATACACCTCCCATAACCCACCAGAGAAGGAAATCAGAACATTTCTAGCAGGACTGACCATGCCTACCCT